AGTTAGTGTCCATCAAGGATCGGGTACGATTGGGTACGGGTGATGAAGGCTGGGTCATTCACATAGATGGTAGTCTTCGGTTTAGGGGACGGATTGTAGTTCCCCAGTCTGCGGAGCTCAGAGAGGAGATCCTTAGGGAGTTTCATTACTCTCGTTTTGCAGTTCATCCAGGGGGCACGAAGATGTATTATGATCTTCGTCGCCAGTATTACTAGAGTGGAATGAAGAGGCAGGTTGACGACTTTGTTAGTCGATGTCTCACGTGTCAGCAAGTTAAGGCTGAACACCAGAGACCAACATGTTTACTCCAGCCTTTGGAGGTAGTTGAGTGGAAGTGGGAGCATATCATGATGGATTTTGTGACCCATTTGCCACGGACATCACGGGGTTATGATGCGGTGTGGGTGATAGTGGACCGGCTTACTAAGCTGACACACTTTTTTGCTGTGCGGATGATCTTCACATTGGAGGAATTCTGCAGGTTGTATATACGAGAGATTGTCCGGTTGCATGGGGTACCCGTCTCTATAGTATTGGATCGGGATCCCAAGTTTATGGCTCATTTTTGAGAGATTTTTTAGCGGGTTATGGGGACACAATTGATGATGAGCACTGCTTTTCATCCCTAGACGGACGGTCAGTCGGAGAGGACTGTCCAGACATTAGAGGACATGCTACGAGCATGCATCCTAGATCTCAAGGGTAGCTAGGAAGATCACTTGCCCTTGGTGGAGTTCGCCTATAACAATAGTTATCAGGCAAGTATACAGATGACACCCTATGAGGTGCTATATGGGAGGCCATGTCGTTCTCCGGTTTGTTGGACGGAGGTAGGAGAGAGGTCTTCAACGGGTCCGAAATTGGTTAGAGACACCTCGGAGAAGGTGGATTTGATTCAAAAACGTCTTTTCACGGCTCAAAGCCGGCAGAAGAGTTATGCTGATAGACGACGGCGACCTCTGGAGTTTGAGGTGAGAGATCATGTCTTCTTGAAGTTATGCCTAAGAGAGGAGTGGTCCGGTTTGGTAAGCGGGGGAAGCTGTCGCCGAGATACATCGGGTCTTTCGAGGTACTTGAGAGAGTGGGTACAGTTGCTTATCGGTTGGCGTTATCGCCAAATCTATCGGGTATTCATGCAGTATTCCATGTCTCTATGCTTCGAAAGTACACCCCGGATCTGACTCATGTGGTGGATTGGGGAGAAGTTATTGATGCTGATGGGACTTTCGAGGAGGGACCGGTGCGCATCATAGATAGCCGGGAACAGGTTTTGCGAGGCAAGATCGTGCGGTTAGTGAAGGAGCTGTGGCAACATCGAGGAGTAGAGGAGGCGACATGGGAGCGCGAGGACACTGTCCGTACCAGTTATCCTTTCTAGTTCGAGGATGGAGGTACATTCTTATAGTCATTTAACATTATTTGACTGTTGCATATGCATGTGATTGTATGTGCACGTGTATGTGAATTTTGGGGACGAAATTCTTTTAAGTGGGGAAGAATGTGAAACCTGGGAAAAATTTGAACTTTTTCTGATAAAGGGCAAAATGGTAATTTGCCACTATTATGCGAGATTAAAATTAATATTTTTCTAGAGCTCGGATGAAGCAACGGATCTCACTGTTGGATTCGCATCGCGAAATCGAGTTACCCTGTCAATTTTCGTCGAATTCTGAGATAATCGAGTTTTTTTATGTTTTTCGAGACGACAGGCGTCCGTAACCCTCAAAAATGAAATTTATATAAAAATTTTGAAATTTGAAAAATATTTTAAATAAAATACATATAAAATATTTTGAGCTTAAATCGGTACGAAATTTAATTGTTTCGGGGCAAAAATAGACCCGGACAAAGGAAGACACTTGGCGCGACGAGGGCCAAGTTTTTAAAAAGTATAAAAGTTGGCAAATATCTGAAAAATCAGATGTTTTCTCTTCATTTGGCCAGCTGGATCAGACCCAAGAGCAAAGAGGAAAAAAATAAATTCTTCAAGCTTTCTTCCGCCGATTATCGGAGTTCCGTCGGTCGGAATTCGTCGGGCCAAGAATTAAAGTCGATCTACGCGACGAAGGCTACGCGTGGGAACCAAAAACAAAGATTTTCACTGAAGATCCAAAGGAAGGATTTTGGAGAAATCTAAGCTTTGGGCTTGAATCTTGTTCTTGAGGTTTCCTACGAATTCTTTATGCTTCAAGAGGTAGGGTTCCTCCTACTCGGACCTATTTCTAACCTAAGGTGTCCATAGGGTTCATGTGGGCTATTTTGGGTATTTCTAACTTTTTTCCATTATGGTTGGTGTTATGGAAATGTGTAGGATCAATTCTAGTGTGAATTGGTAGTTAGAAAGTGCTAGTTTGTAATTTCTAGAATGTTTCGATAATTGGTTATGTAAAAATCATATATTCTGATTTTTTATTTTGTTTGAAATGGTCCATTTAAAATCTTCGCTTGATTTTGGTATATGGAAGTATTTATGTAATCCCTTGGAAATTGGGATCATGTGGGTATGCTTTGTGTTTTATATTATGCCTTGTGAATGAAATGTGATATTAACATGTATTATGTGTTATCATGTTGATGAAGTGTTGATATATGCTCTTGGATATATTGAACTTGAAATGGTTATGGTGATTATATGCAAATGATATAAATTGCCATGGTATACATTGATATGTAAAAATTGTTCATTTGACATGCATTGCAATATAGACATGGAATTGACATCACATTCATGGGCTACATGCATGAGTGTGGGTGTAGGGTTGCATGGGGTGATCAACACCAACATTGATGCTTGATGGTGGGCTCGGGAAAGTGGGATGGAACGTCCTATAGAGTCGTACGGTTACATGCATAAGAAAATTTGTGTCGGGTATAGCAAGTAGGGCTAGATACTCTTTCGGGTGAAAAACTCGGCCACTTGGTTCATACACTTACCGGCGGTGAAATTCTAGAAGTGTAACGGAGTACGGAGCCGGAGGTGCGATTCCTGAATCGATACCCCATAAAGGCACATGATTTTGATATATAAATTATTCATTTGATGGGAAACATCCAAAAATGAATTGGTTTTATGACATATGGTTGATTTCAAAATGATCTTTGGATGTGTTTCATCAAAGACACTTGTTTTACACATATGAGTCGCATTGTGTTGTGGGAGTCGATGTGGGCTCGGGATAGCATGCATGAGTGAGTTTCATCTCATTACTTGGCATGACATCATGAGATTCTATTTTGAATAACATATTCTTATTTGGAAGAAGTTGTTTGTGGCATGTGCGCATTGCATACGCATTTTAGGTGGGGAGTAGCCTCTGTAGGAGTATTTCTACTGTGCGTTGGCTTACCCTATATGGAAAACATTTCAAGTGGGAGAGGTACACCGGTGGATGGCTCCAATTTGGACCCTATATTTGAAGAAAGCCGAATGTGGCTTTATTTTGTGTTGATGTAAAATATTTGTGGAAAGAATGTTTTAAGCATGTAATCTTTTAAATTGTAATAGAACTTATATGGACTATTGTTAAACTAACCTTGCATGTTTTGATATAAATATGGATGATTGGATCCGGTGTGGCCAATGTTTAATTATAATTGGACCCGGTGTGGTCGAGTTTTACTTATAAATGGACCCTGTGTGGTCGTTGTGTTATATGGGGCATTGGACGGGTCATGTTAATGTATATTGCACAGGTTGTGTTTTGGGTAGAGCTCCCCGTACAAAGGAGACTTTATCCGAATTTTGTTAAATTAAGGACCTCGGTAAATGGGGCATAACGGTGTGATATCGAGTTACTCGGTATCCACGGGTATTCTGCGGGTTGATGGATAATCAACGGACCCCTGAATTTTGGGGCGTCACATAAAAAAGTACTCGAATCGTGAAAAATGGGTGCTATTTTTTATTTACATTACGTGTTATTTACAAATAAATAAACAAGTGACAAAATACATGTTGTTAGATATATAAATCTTTGAATTAATTTTATGGAATAAATAATTGCATAACATGTAGTTTCATATGTTTTATGAAGTAATAATAAAAAAATAACACTTGAAAAACAGAAAAAATAAGATAATAATATGACAGAGAGAGAGAGAGTATAAGATAGATACAAAGAGAGTTAGACGAGCGATAGGAGTCTTAGAAAAATTTGGCATGAGGACCGTCAGATCAATAATCGTCAAGCAATCTAAGCTACAAAAAACTAAAGACAACGAAATCTATCTACTTTATTATATAGATATATGTGTGCGTGTAGATGGGACACTTGTAGTTCTTAGAGCTTTCTCTATGTTGAAGTGTCTTCAGCTATAACTTTTTCTCTCCTACTCTACACAGGCATCTCTTTGAAAAGTCAATAATGGTGGCTTGATTAGCTAGGTTAATATTTTAATTAGGCATTTCTAAACTCAATTATCTTAATTAATGAATAGGATTCTTAATGAAATTAAGAAACTACAATCTAAGTATACTTAAGCTTGCTTAAGACTTTATTCAAAATACTTCTATTCCTAGTGAATTAGATTATAAAATTTTAAGAACGTTCCCCAAAATAACCCTTAACCTAACTACCGGATCGGTCAATATTCTACATACCATTTTATCTTTGAATTGATTTCAAGTAATTTCAATAGGTTATTTTCCAGGCAATCACCAATCAACATAACCTTCTACTTAAACCTTCTTATTAACAAATCGTAAGCACGATTGTTACACATCTACTTCCACCTTTGAGCAAGGACCATCGACTAGTGCATTACCACCGAGGCATGCACAAGCTATTACCTCGCGTGCCATACCACACAGGGTTACAACCACTTCTTCTCATACTCAGTAGACATACCACTATGAATGCATTAGGCAACATTCAGACTAGTGTAGACATACAACACAATCTCACAATATTACAAGTGGATTCTCTTGAGGATAGACAGGTTGGTCTTAAGAGAGAACATAGAGAGATGAGATGAGATGAGAGGTGGGACGACTTAGGCAGATGTTACAGAATGTTAGATTCAATGATGAGGATGAGCCTGAGAAAATGCTGGGTGATAGTGATGCTGGTGGAGATGGTACAACTTTTCTTATTGACTTTTCATTTGTTTATTTTTTTTATCACATACTCTTAGTCCATAACTTTGATGCTTTATCATTTAGACTTTGAATTATATGTCATGTTTGCTTTTTGTTTAATGTCTTTTTGCCTATTTTTGCAAGTTTATATGTCATGATGTCTCTTTGTTACACCATGTTTTTACATTGCTAGTCTTGATATGTCACTGGTCTGCCACTTTATGACAAAAAGGGATGTTAGACATTGAAGGGAGAAGATCAAGCATTAAAGTTACATCATTCAACCTCCATATGCCTCTTCGTGGTTAGGACAAAGATAATGACCTAGACACATGATCCGATTATTAATACTAGGGATTTTCAAAGAAAAATTTTTATAAACCAATTTTGTGTTTTAGAAACATAGATTGAGTCACAATTGGACCGTTCTTTAAGCAACACCCTTTAGTGCTCAAGAGAACAATTTTTTGCATGATTTTAGGCTTAAAAAAACCTATAGGAACCACTCTATACTTGCTAGTTTTCGGTAGAGTGGTCTCTTTATGACTTAGGAGAAAAAAAAGAAGAAAAAGTCACAGAAGGCAGCACAGGGCTCGCTCAAGCAGTTTCCATGGTCTCTCGAGCAGTGCTCATGGTCGCTCGAGTGGTACTTGTCTTACTTGGGATTGGAACACAGTTTTCACTCCAGTGACAACCACCCTATGATCACCCTCCCACTGATTAAGTAGTTATTCGTGAATCTGAGTTTTCTTTTTTACTAAGACTACCCTTATTCTAGACCTATAAATAGGGAGTGTCTTTCCCACATCTAGGTTAAGCCTTGAGAGAACCTTGAGAGAGCCCTTTGAGAGATTTTTGAAGAAGAAATCTATCTTTCAACCTTGAGTGCTTCCACCACAACTTAGATCCCTAAGAATCCAAAGGCTTTGACTAGTTATTCTTTCCATTCTCACAACATGCAGTAAGAATGTTTTTTGGTGAACAAACCCATTAATGTGTGCATACCAAGAATTATTGGCGTGCCCATAATCGCTCAGGGCCTAGACGAGTCGTGCGGCTGGGAGGTCCAAATGAAGCTACACCAGATGTCAAATAGTGAGTCTCGACAGACAGACATAGCAAGAAAAGGAGCATATTAGTTGAGTTATAGACCCGAGTACTTGTATGTTGACTTGGCACGTAGTAGATTAGACTTTTGTGAACACCAAGTGGTTCCCCACAATTTTTCTCGAGGAGAATTTTTCGCAACAACAAATTGCTGGTGACAGTTATTGTTTATTATTTATACTTTCATTTGTTAGCATACATGCACACTATGTGTTTGATATTTTCATTGTTAGATTATATATCATCCATAGTTGTACAATTGAGTTTGTGGGATTTGGAATCGCTGTGAGATTTACTTGATTGAATTAACTACAAAATTAAATAAAATCAATCGTCATGGTTCAAAGGATTGGTGGTGATTAAAAAGGTTCTCACATTCATTGTTATATGTTATGGGAAGAGGTAATTTTGGTAGATATAGATTTTAATTGGACTTGAATTTGGGCTAAAATTGAAAAACCTTTTCACCCCCATCTAGTTTAAGGGTCTTGGGCTCCGTGTGTATAATTGTGAGGGAGAATTCACATTGGGTTCCCCCTCTTAGAACAATAATTGGTATCTGAGTGTGGTTGCCCTAAGTCCATCGACACTAAGTAGGCATTTCTTGTTTTTGCTTACTTGCCAGTTGTTTTCCTTCAAGAGATCTATTAGTACTACAAGTTAATTTTAAATGGAGTCTCAAAAGGAATGAGGATCAATTTCATGAATGCCTTTCTTTGATGGTTCTAACTTTGCATATTAAAAAGCTCACACGAGAGTGTTTCTAAAATTAAGTGATGAGAGAGTATGGTTAAGCGTGCAAGAGAGTTGGAGCCCTCCCACCACCACCACACAAGTTGAAGATGGTGAAGTGGTTTTTGAATTGAAATCCCCAATGAATTTGTCGAAGGCTGAGATTGAATCGGCGAGTAGAACTCGAAAGGCTTGAATGTGATATTCCATGCCATGACACTAAATAAGTTTCAAAGGATTGCTAATTGCGAGACTTCAAAGAAGGCATGAGATATTCTTTTGGTTTAACATGATAGAATTACAATGGTTAAGATGTCCCATCTCCAAAGGTACACCTTATAATTTGAGATATTAAGGTTGCAAGAAGAAGAAACTTTTGGTGATTTTTACGCCAAATTGCGCGATATTGTTAATTCTTCTTTTGCATTAGGTGCCAAAATCGACAATGCCATGATTAAATGGAAAATTTTGAGATATCTACCAGAGAGATTTCATGCCAAGGTGACCTCGCTTGAGACAAGTGTCAATATGTCCAGGGTATCAGTCAAGGACCTAGTAGGTTTAATTTTGATTTTTGAGATGAACCTTCTTTCACCCAAGAAAGTGGGTGTTGCATTAAGTTCTAAGATCAAAGAAGGACATAAATTCAAGTAACCCCGATTGAGAGAAGAGGATATAACCTATCTTGATCAAAAATTCAACAAATATTTCAAGGCTAGTGGTGTCAAGTCCTCAAGGTCGAAAGGAAATTCGAGTAGACCTAGATCTCCTAAAAAGGGAAAAGAAAGTGGGGGTAGAACTTCTCAACATGAGGTTTAGAGGAAAGGGAAAGGTCACCAATGCTATGAGTATCAAGGGTTTGAACACTTAGCTACGGCTAAAAGGAAAGACATGCCCAAGGAAAAAAGGAGAGCCTTAAAGGCCAAGGTGAGTGAAAGCGAAAGTGAGTCTACAAAAAGTTTCAGCTCTTCTTCGTCAAGTGATGAAGAAGAATTTATGGCCTTTGTAAGTTCACACTCCTCCCCCACCCCCATGAAAAAATATCCAATAATAAAGATGAGAAAGTTGAGTCTAGTCCCACTACAGATGTAGATGACTTAGTGGTAAAAGTCTCTATTAGTGAAGATGAGACCAAGAGTTTTGAAGACCTCCAAGATGCTTATAATGAATTATACAAGGAGTGTCTAAAACAAGGTAAGAAGTTGCTTTGCTTAAGCATGAGGCTCAAAACACGTGAAGAGGTAAAGAAATCACTTCATATGGACTTATTTAAGTCCGAAGCTCATATTGTTGGACTTGAGGAGAAGAAGTCCCTCCATGACAAGGTAAGCTTCCTTGAGAGAGCACAAAGGGCTTTTAGAGTCTAAGAAGGGTCTTGAGTTTAAGATTGTCAAACTTGATAGAGACTGATTCGCACTTTTCAGTGGTCTGAATTATATTATTATACACCCAAGTATAAGTGGTCAAATTATAGTTTTTTCAGTTTTAAGTCCAAGTATCGATCCCACGAAGAGTTTAGTAATTTAGTAGTTAAAATAAAAAAACAGTAAAGTTGTTGTTTGAAGTAGTATGATGTTTGATAGCTTGTGATGTGAGCTTAGCTTGACAGCTAGTTTAACTTAAATATATTGCGTAAATAAACAAATGAAGTGCGTAAGTAAACAAATAAAGTGCGTAAGTAAATAAATAAAGTGCGTTAATAACAAGAATATAAAAGATACCCTTCAGTTTAAGGGTCCCATATGCATTATATTGGTTAGATACTGAAAATGCTACTGTACCAGGATTAACTTCCATTTTATTGGCAAGTCAATCGGTTGATCTGATGTATATAAACCATAGCACAACTGCTTCTTAGGCTAACTGAGGGTAGTAAATCATAACACAGTCACTTCTTAAGCTAATTGGTTATATCCACGTCAATTGATTAACCCAAGCAAACCAGAAGGACAAGTCATTCATGAGGAATACTTGAGTTATTCACTTGATCTCATGATTATAAGTGCGTATAGAATAAATTATAACACAGCCACGTCTTAGGTTAATTGGTGGTATTATAGCATAACACAACAACTTCTTAGGAAAGTTGGTTATAGACGTACCAATTGACTAATTCAAGTAAACCAGAAGGCTGAGTCATTCATGAGGAACACTTGAATTACCCAATAGGTCATCTGTGATATATATATATATACCAGTTAAACATCCTCAGCATTCCGATGGACGACAAACTATACCGATAGGAACGCCGTGGTTGTTAGACTAGCAATATAGTTATATATAGTATTTAAATAACCCTAATAAACTAGAAGGACAAACCATTCATGAGGATCATTTAGGTTATGTACCACACATCAGTAGAACATCCTCACCATTCCGGTGGAGGACAAGCCATACCGATAGGAACGCCATGGTTGTTTAACCGACGGGTCTTATGATACACTTATGACATAATTCAAGGCACATCACCAAAATTATGCACATCACTATATCACGCATTAAGCATATAATACATAAATAAATAAAATATAAATAAGACATCAACATTTTCATAATCTAAACAATAATATACATATATTCCCCTCGCACTGGAGGGTATAAACGACTACTCACGCTCCATTGCTATAGACAAGCAAGGAGTGTGGGTAGTATTCATTCCAACTAAAAATAAAACTTCTTTCACAAGGAATAATTAAAACACAACCACCTTTATTATCATTCAAGACAAAAAAAGTGGCGGCAGTTCAACTATCTAAATAGAAAGAAACGACAGAAATGTAGAAATACAGAGTAACAAACGGACCGGCTATCAAAGGTTCTTTCTCTTTTTCTTTCTCTCTTTTCTTTCTCGAAGGATTTTTCTCTTTGAAGCTATAGTGGCCAGCTAGTCTTTTAATAGGGAGGAGGTTGTCTCTTGGAATGGTATGCTTGAAGTAAGGAGTGAAGACCCCTATTTATAGGGGAGGAGGAAGTTTCAGCCAAGGAGGGGGGTCCTAACCCCCACCTCACCCTTCCTAAAGGTCCAGCCTTGCAATGGTGGTGGTGTGTCGCATTCTTGGGCTTCCATGTGTTGCGGGGTCCTAACCCCTACCATAACCTTCCTAAAGGTTAAGCCTTGCAGTGGTGCAAGGTGTCTTGTTCTTGAGCTGCCACTTGTCGCCTTCTGATTTGTCCATGTTTCTTTATTACACTTTAGTCCTTCGTAGTTTCAAGTCTTGTAAAATTGCCTTGTATTTTCCAGTATTTCTGCATTTGACCCTGAAATTTAAACATAAAGTATTTAAAACTTTAATTTAAACACAAACTATAATTCATAATGTTTAGTTGTTTTATCTTACAAAATTGATTACTTAATTATTTTATTTACACACTAATTAGGGTTAATCACACCCCCCAACTTAAAATTTGCTAGTCCCTAGTAAATATAGATTATAAAAACTATTTCACAAAATAAAACATAAATAGAAGTAAAATCATTTCCGTAGATTTTTTGACGATTGCATTTAGCATATGCAATACGCCGTTAAACCCCTAGGTGATCCCTAGTGGACGAGTTTTGTTTCGTGAAGGTTTCCAGTGAAGCTACCTACAAACTTTAGTAGTTAGGAGTTTATAATTCATACTTTTCACAAAAATAATTAAATCAATATTCCTTCTGTTTTGCTAGAATAGTTCCTTTCCTGATCACTATAAGAGTAACACACGTTAGTTGTAACATTATCTATATATTTTTATACAAACTTGTGTGTGTGCGATGATTTCTTTTGTTTCAAAAATCACTCAAGAAATATTACCATCTTTCATAATAGTTTTGATGTCAATCCTTTCCTGGAACACACTCAGCAAATAATACATATTTGTTATAGTAACTATTCTCACAAGTTACATGTGATTGGAATATTGTTAACAAAACAAATAATATTACATGTAAGCATTTGAAGAACGGATATTTGAATAAAAGTTGAATTTGACATAATCTCATGAGTGGATATCAACACTATACTAGACATATCGTCAACATTCTCCTTTTATAAGATAGAATTAATACAAATGCATGATTTATGGAATCAAAAAGGACTTTATTTAGGTTGTAATATGGCCATTGGTTTTAGGGTTTAAGAAATGACGTCTATAGGATTCAAAAGCTACCCTGTTTTTGCACACCTCATTCTATAGGGATTTTGTCTACTCTTTCTTTTTATTTTTCTCATTTTTCACTTTCTTGACTTTTTTCTTTATTTTTCAACTTTTCATTTGTTTTTCTTTTTCTTTTGCTTTAAATAGCCAAGATTTTTTTATTTTTCCATAAGACATCTTTCACCTTTTCTATATCATATTGATTTAAAAGAGGGTGCAAGAAAATTATGTAGCAAAGGTGGGTTTGACATATTTTCATTTGGCTCGGGTATTTTTCGGGTTTGATGAAAAAACTTTATACTTTTGTAGGCTCAATCATGGTTGACTAATGATATAATTTTGTAAAAGAAATAGTTAAGGCTCAAGATTAATCATACATGGCTTAAGATCATTTTCTAGAAATTATTCATCTGTTTCAATCCTACATAAAATAATTTCAAGGACAATGCTAATAATATAATCTAACAAGTGCTAATCAAGACAAAATTAATGAGATTATTCAAAGAAAGTTTACCGTAGAATCGAAGATGTTTATTTGAGTAAATGTAGAATATCTCTCCAAGAAAGATTGGCTCAAATTCTTCAATTGGTTTTACATCTACACTAAATATGTAAAGAGTGTAATATTTCACAAGGTTTTTGAAATAAAGAATCTAATCGTGCTCTATAAGAGTAAGTTTAAACAAAAATATTAAGATAATATACAACTAAAGTATGAAAATCCCACGTGATCAGATTAAGGCTATTTTCACAAAACATAGGAAAATCTACTTAATTTAATTATGAATCATATGAACTAGTCTTCCTAACTTAAAATTTTCATAAATAAACTAGTTTAAAACACAAACAAATTTAAAACACATAAATATGTTCAAAATATAAGATAATTTAAAGTTCAAGTGCATAATGTAAAAGATGAGTGAAAGAAAACAAATTATTTTGTAGAATCTCCAGTCTGTTTAGGAAGTAGAAGATCCTTCTCCGAAACGATCTTGAAGTAGCTTCAAAATCTCAACTTGGTTTGTTCATATTCATCTATGCGTTGGTTGATCTGAGTAATACTGTTCTCCACCTCTAGTAAGATGCATCTATCAGTTCTGTCATCCATTGGGATGTATGGTTGACTCTCTTGTGATATGAATTCTTCAGGTACCCAAAATGGTTCCTCTTCTTGTGGTGAAGGTATTCCTTGTTGGTTTTCCAGTTGTCCTCCATGACTCTTTTTTATTGAAGTTTTATCCAATACTCCAGGATGATTCACTGTCGTCCATATTGGATTGATGATCACACCTTCATTCCTGCATAACTGAGAAACTAACATAGCATATGAGAGTGTGAGTTTCTTTCTATCCACAACGAGTATCATTTGGTCTATGATTAAGTTTGACAGGTCAATTGTGTGTCCCGTCCCAAATGCATATAAGAAATAAGCTTGCTCAATAAAAATTTGATTCTTTTGGGCTCGGGGTAACAAACTGTACACTGTTATCATATTCAGAATTCGGTATTTGTCTGTTAGATCTCCTTGTTTAATGTAATTATTTGGGCGTCCCCAAAGAAATTGTGAATTTCCTGTTAATTCTTTTCCTACCTCATGCAAATCAGGTAGTTCAGTGTATGGATATTGAGGGTTGGGTAGTCTTTGCATGGGTTTAAAGAAATCAGCTATAGTAGCCGGCGTAACTTGAAAAACTATTCCCTGAACAAATATACGCAATTGTCTTTCCCCTTTAATTTTAGAATTACTGTAAAATTTCCGAACTAAGCAGTCATAAGCAAGAACAGATAACCTAACATAATGTAACCATCCTCTTGCATGGAGAATTTGTCTTATTCCTATGTTCTCAAAATCTTCATATATCACTGTTATTTCAGAAATAATAGTTTTAGTTAGAAAATTAACCTTATACCAAAGTTGTTGGTCTAAATTTTCAAACATCACCTCATTGAAGATATTTCCCAATTGAGGTTGTTGTGGAGGTGGCTCAGATTGCGAAATTCGATCCCTTCATGCTTGGCTTGAAGACCTTCTTGTTTGTCGTCTTGAATCCATATTTTTTCTTGACTGGTTCCTGATTTGTAACTGCAGACTGCTTCTCTGATTTTCTGGAATTCTGCTCTTTTTCCTGTATTTCTTACAATTTACAAAATTAAATATCCATTTTACAAAACTTTGTTAACCACTCTT